CCGGACCGTTATTCCCTGGGTCTGGAAATCTCTGGTCTTGGAAGAAGGAAATGATAGTGGAGGGTTAACATCATCTTCCTATATTAACAGTTAAACTGCTAGTTCTTTATTTTAATTATTTTTATTATTAAAAAAGAGATAAACAATGCAAATATTTTTAAATGTATACTGAGTCTAGAAAAAATACATCCAATTTAATGTAAATCAATAAAATGATAATATCTCTTACATTTCACTGTACAGGGGTTATAACACACTTTCATCCAAATTAAATCATGCTATTTCCATGCAAACCTATGTAGCACTTGTGATGATTATTGCTCCTGCTGTTTTATAGATTAAAAAACTGATGTCCTCTGAGATTAATAAATTTATCCATGTAACTTACATTGTCTGATGATTATTGTCTTCAGTGTCATAGAAATGTTGCTATTTTCTGTAATAGAGGGTCATAATTAAGTGAGAAGTACAGGTAATGAATATGTCTCATTATCTTTCCCTCAACGTCCAAAATTGTGGAGCGGGCAGAGCCATGGCCTGCTCCTGGATATTACATTCCCCTACTGCCCACTTTAACTTCTCAGGTCCTATCCAGCTTCAATAAACAAGGCTGCATCCCATTTTCACTGGGATCGGTTAGTCTGTGGTTCTGGACAGTGGAGGAAGATTAGGGAGGGTGGTGATTGCTGGAGAAGTGGGTGGAAGGGGCTTTACGAGCAGTAAGCTGGAGTGGACGGGCAGGGAAATGCCAGGGCTAACTGTGCTCTCCTCAGACAGCTGCTGTTGCTCAGCGGAGACTAGGAGGAGTGTTTTGAACCTAATTGTAGGGATGCTGGTAGCACAGGTGACAGGCAAGAAAGGGGCGATGGTTTACTGTATGATTCCTTCTGCCCTATGAAACTAAAATACACGTGATCCATTCACCAACAGATCAGATGTGTAAGACGCATGATAAAAATACTTATATGTCCACAGTTTCATAACCTCAGAGAGTTTAGTTTCTGAATGGTGTTTTCCCTTCCCAGTTGCCCAGAGTAATGTTTTTTGTTGTTGTTGTTTTCTTTTATCCTTATTTTCTTGTATGCCTCTGAAGTCTGCCGGTTTCGGTTAAAAGTGGTCCTTGGGAGGCTAATTAAATTCCAGCCTCCACTGTTATATTTTACCCAAACCCATCATGTCTTATGTAATATCATACATGCCCCTCTCCATTCTGTGGAGGTATAAGTGGAGTTGCACACACATGAATACCGAAAAGGGATTTTATCTCAATAATGGTATAGTGATCAATGTGCAAATCTCCAAAACCATGGCCTAAACCTGCTGAAATACCTGTCTTTGTGAATATATCTTTAAAAATAATGATGTTCTTTATGAGAACATTTAGAAAAATATATAAAAGTATAGGTAAGAGATTATGAACAGTAAATAATGTCTGACCACCTCTATAATCCATGCTAGCATTTTATTGTATTTTCTATTTGTGCATATATGTACATTTATATACACACACACATATGCATATCTAAAATAAATAAATAGATTTAAGTGATTACAATAAATTTTGCATTAAGTTTCATAGTCTTCTTTGGTTTTATAACATGATTTTATTGAAAGAAAAAATATAAAAGAATTAAAGAAATATGCAACATAAATCAGAAAATCAATAAAAAATCTTAATACCTTTTTCAGAGCTACTAACTTCATTGTTGGATGCAGCTCTATCTGCACAAATATTCAACATTGTCTCCTGACAGACCTTGATTATATAACCACTTCTGTGTCTGGTCCCTGGGTGTGGACCCCTCAGTCTCTGAGGAATAGGAGACTGATATAATAGAAAGGTTTAACATCGGATATTTCAATTTTCATTTTGTTCCTTTCTACCTTAATGCTCAGAGTTATACTTAATTAAAAACAGTAAAATGACTCTAATCTGTCAGCATTCATTATTTCCAGTTCACCAATCCCTCCCTAGGCATTTTGTATATTTGCATAATGTACAAAATAAATATACACCCACCCATGCTCACACGCTTTGTAAACAAAAATGGTGTTAGAATAAACAGTCTTTATGTATAAATAAATGTTATGATTAGAAGCAATGCATTCTTTTCTATTCTTGTACATTAATTTATTTAATCTATCCTCTTCTAATGGCCATTTGGTTTATATGCAATTCTTCATATAAGAAGTCTGATATGAGTAAAATGAAACATACATAATTTATCATGTTCAGGTGTTTTCTTAAAATAAATTTTAACAAATGACCTTTAAGGACAAGGAGACTTCATCCTGTTTAAAGGAAGTTTTGCCCTTCTTACCACAGTCAACTGTGTTTTATATTATCTAATCATCACGACATGTTATCATAAATTTCATATTTTATCATACATGTCCTGAGTTTTCTCTAATAACCTCATTATAATCTGAAAGCCAAAGGTGATGAATAACTTTTAGTTCCATCGATATTAAGTTTCATTGAATCCACAGAGATTACTCACAATAGATTCATGGATAAAGTGTAGCAAAGCAGATCAATTTTAAAAGTAAATTCTCCTCAATACTGTCATAGAATGATATAGTGTGTTTTTTGAATTTTGTAAATTCACAAAATTAGTGACCCATAAATGACTCCTCAGAGGTGATTCAAGTTTCACTTATCCTAATCCAAGGCAGGATCCCAACACTAATTGAGGGCAGAAGGGAGAAAATAAGGAGGTTTGCCACATTGGGAGATAGTTTACTTGATTTATATCAACCTGGCACTAGAACATTATTGGTATTCCTCTTAATAGAAAGTGACGTAAGGAACCATTGCATTAAGCAAATCCAGAAATAAGCAGGAAAAAAAAAATAGTGCCTGGTGAAGTTGTGCAACCTGACAGCCTTTGGTCATCTTTTGAGAAATATTTTATAATGTGTGACCCATTACAATGCAATTACAAACACAGGTTGCTATGTAGTCCTTAAATGGTTATTGTTGATCTATACTTCAAGAAAATATACAATAATTATGTATATTATCTGCACATCTTGAGTCTAAATGTGGTTAATTTTCTTGCCACAAATATTATATATGCAAAATTTGTGCAAACAAAAAAGCAGTAAGATGTGCAAGACATGTACGAGTTTATGTACTCTAATACCACAAGTGGTTTAATGTTTCTTCTGAAACCCCACCTGGAGTAAACAGAGTTGTACATTTGTTGTTATTTTTGTTTGTTTGTCTTGTTTATAATTATAAAGTTGCCCCCTTGCTTTCTAGAAAGCTAGAATTCCTATAAGTGAAATCCAATGAAATTAATATATTTTCTTTTTTTTTTGAAAAGTGATTCTCAGTGACAATTTTTAAGGCTTTTTAATATTCATTTGTGTGAGGGGGAGGGGATAATCTCAATACAAAAATACAAATTGTACTCCTGTTACAGATATTGTTGAGATAAAGCTCAAACCACTTAAGTAGTTGCCACTAATTTTCCACCAGGTGAACTAAGAAAGTAATATTTTTCCCAAGAGCAAAATTTAATATCTACTTCTCTGGTGCGTGTTTTGAAGAGGTGGAGTCATCCTTGGGCACCTTCTGATTCCTTTCCGAACTTATTTTTGTCCCTCAGGTACTTTCCTGTCTCCACGGAATGCCAAATTTCCTCAGGTTACGTTGTGTTTAGGTAGGATCCGAATTTTAATTTTGTAAACACTGCTGCGCCTACGGAATATGTAGTCTAATTTCCACTCGCCATTATTACCAGAACGTGATTAGCCACATTTTGCTGAAAACTGGACAATTTAAAAGACCTCCCAAAGGTATTTGTGTTTTAATAAAGAATCACTTTTTTTAATCATGGGGGAAAATGATATAAGGTAGAATTTAAGATGTCAGAGACAACCAAGTAAGTAAAAAACAAAAATGAAAACATCTGCATCTAAATGGCTTTCCTAGTGTCATTGATACTTGTAAACATAATATTACATAGAAAAATGTCTGCATATAAAGCCTTTTCCTTCAGAAAATAGTTGCCTGGCCCTGAGTCATGGACTAGTATCAAGTAAGTTCAGTGTATGATATTGGTAACAAAGAAACCAAGTTCACTAAACTCTTTGTTGCTGAATACAAAACAAACCAAAAAAACAGTGCCTGGGGATTGCTGACATCTCTGTTCTATAAGCAAGGAAGCAGATTTTTTGAAACATAAAAGAAGATTATTTAATAGAATGTTCTATGAGAGTTGTGAGCTTTATTAATTGCACAAGCATAGATTGCAAATTTAT